AGTGATATCATTGAAAACATGCCTTTTCCAGATGAAGCAATTTAAGCTACGTTAAACGTGTGTTCTCTCTGCACTAGCATTTCCCAGGAAGAGGGAATCGACATCGTCTGTCACCATTACGAAGAACATTACCAGTCAAAGTTGCCTATCCTTACTTCAGATTTGGGAGAGTTAATGCGGGTGGTCCTAACAGAAAACTAATTCAAATTCACCGACAAACACTACGTACAGACTCACGGCATTACAATGGCCACCAAAATGGCGGTTGCTTTCTTGGTCATTTTCATGGCTCACGTTGAGAAACAACTACTACATGCGAGCCCTTGCAGCCATTTCGCCAGTTGGAAGAAATTTATTGATGACATATTCTCAGATCTTCGCAGTGTGGACTCTTCCTGAGACCAAAATCAACAACTTTATTGATTTCGTGAACTCTTTCCACACAACAATAAAATTTACACTGACGAACTGTCATCAAAACAGATTGTTTTCCTTGACCACTGCAGTTTTTAAAGGACCAAGATTCATTCGATTCAAACACATTATTTAAGCCGACAGAAACGTTTTAATTTGCGGATTTCTCCTCATTTTACCCTCTCATAGCACTTACTCAGAACGAACTCGGTTAAGGAAGAATTCCCGATAACTGGAGTTAAAGAAGAAAGAGTTTTTAACTCGCCTTACAGAACGAGGCTACCCTCACGACCTTGTGGAAACAATCCTAGCCGAACTCGGCTTCGAATCGCGCAATGCGGCTTTATAAAATAAACCCAAAACAAAAGATTTGCCGTTTGTAACGACTTTCCATCCTGCAACTCCGAATCTCAAAAAGATTCTAATGAAACACTGGCACCTCATTACGGGCAAAAATGACACACTCGCGCAAATATATTCCCACGCCCCCATTGGTTCTTGTCGGAAGGAAAAATCTTTAAAAGATTTTCTTGTTAGAGCGACAATTTCTTCACTTTAACAACAACATTAAAGGAGTACATGGTTAGGGTCGAGTGACAATATTATCAGGCTAAAAACATAGCACGTAGTTCGCATTTTATACCTGGTCCGTATTTTACTATCCAGTCCGCAGTCCACATCTGAAACGCTCTACCCGGCTGCGTTGCGTACGTAACGCAGCAAGGTTACAACAAAAGCAAACTTATCAGTGAAAAAACATTCAGATCATGTCTTTGAAAACGTCTCGGCCATGATACAGGCAAGCTTTGGATTGCTGTTGGCGTAACATTTCCCCCAGAGACGACTCGACGAAGACATGGAACACTCCTTCACTACAAGACGACCGCCATCTTGTTTGCAGTCGCGCCATTTCTGATTTTACCCTCCCCCACCCGTCACAGTTATATTTGGTCTGTTTTCAATTTTTGTTTTTCTCGAATACGAAAATCAAAAAACGATTTTCATTTCGGATTTCATCATCATTGATACTGTTTCCCGCAGTTTCGTTACACATGAATAGCTTTGTCAGGTTTGAATTTTTAATAAGCTGGAATTTAGGGAATAGGAAATTGAAAATACAGTTTTTAACTTGGGTACCAGGCAAAAATCTCAAAATTGAAGATTATCGTTTATTTTTTCCTTTTCCTTAAAAACAAGAAATAAAAACCACCAACTGAGCATTTTCAATTTTCAATTTTTGATTTTCAAAACATTGAAAATTGTTTTTCAATTTTATGTTTCTTTAGAAACAAAAATTGACAATTGAGATTGTGAATTTTTGATTTTCAATTTTCAATTTAGAATAAAAATCAAATGGACGAAAACCGCACGGACCCAGGTCCACTTTCCACCGACCTTTCCACCAAAACTAAATGAAGTACTGCTTTTAAAGTTTTTTCTATACTTGTGCACTTCTTTTGTGAAATCCTGACGAATGATCCTATGAATGATGTCCTATTTGAGACCAAAATTCTATTACGTTGCCTCGTCTTTAGCACAGCCCCTCTGTAAACGCCATGAGTCCAAAAGTAAATTGATTTGTAACAGCTAATTTACCTTATTAACTCAGTTGACAAATGAAGTTTAACCCCTATTAGATCCTAATATCAAAATTAAAATTCTTATTTGTTGCGGGCCCCTAGGCATTTCCTCTTGTGGCAGTGGGAAGAAGTTGTTAAAGTATAAGTTTAATTCATCTTTTGTGATCATTTTTTCAATTCTCATGATAACTCTGCTTTTATGCTGATCATTATTAGGGCTTAGAGAGCTTAATTATAAAGTTCAAGTCAGCCAATTTTAATACTTACAACAAGAAATTACCCGTTGCCAGTCTTCCAGATACCGGTGCTTACTTTTGAAGATTTTAAAAAATCAGGGCGCTAACGAAACTAAGTCTGTGTTTTCCCTCCCTACGGATTTTAACAGGAGCCGATCGGATCCCGGTTTTAACTCTGGGGTTTTGATAGTGAATCTCAGAGTTTGTTTGGGTAAACCACATCTTGAACAGAGACAACTTCCGGTTTGGGTGCAAAGGCATTTCCGTTCTAATATGGCATTCTGGGTAGTTTCCTCTTGGGACCGATGGAAGATGAGTGTCTGGTAGGTGAGTATTATTAATCCCTGGCTTTTCTGTTTACAACTTTAGCCAGTATCGTTGAGAGCTTCAATATATGGGACCTTGTGGTTTATTCAAACTTTTCGGCTACACTGGCGTTCCATATTTCAAAGGAATGTTATAATACGACGGTGTTTTTCGGTCGAAAATGCCACCCTGTCTTTGCCGGCGGGAGTTTCACAAGAGGCATTTTTACTACAGAATCGCTTTGACAAAATGAGCTCAAAGATTGCTTCTCGTAAAAAAAGTAAACGGAGACCTCGATATCTGCAGGCTTTGAGGGATTTTACAGCAGCAGATGCTTGCTTTTCTGATGGAGCAAATCCTCTTTCGTTTCACATAGGTGAGATTTTTACATTTCTCAGCCGCAGGGACAACTATTGGGTGAATGTCGAGAGGACGGTTTGGAAGAACAATCCTTTATTAAAGACTAAAGATTACCCTACGACTGAGCGGGGAATCGTACCTGTTGACTACGTGATCGAGATGGATAGTACAACAAAACAAAATGGAAGACTGTCAGCGGCGAAATCAGAGGATTGCTTGGTTTCTACAAGTGAGGATAGCCACGACGACTTTTTCAAGGTAAGCTTAACTTTAGTTTCGACTTTGTAAGATATCATCTTCCGTGCCAATTGCATTCCTTTTACAATACTACCTTTGCCTCCAAGAAAAGCAACAGAATAGCAAAATTAATGATATATTTGAAATGGTCTTCTCGATACCTGATGATCAAGTAATTATATAAGCCCACCGCGTTCTGGAACAACTTAAATAGTTTATATATTCATTCTCTTCTTCTCATTGTGAAACCGTTTGAAAACATAAACATAACTCAAACACTTTACGTCATTATATTTAGCTATATATTATTTCTACCTGTCCGTGTCGAAAAAGATTTTATTAACGGGGATCATCTTAATTAACTCCATATGATATAAGTTAAGAAAGTATTTTCGACTTCCTTTTTTTTCTATGCAGAAAATGTTTTTTGCCGATTTCATAAGCCGGAAAAGTTAACAAGAAACTGTAGGTCATAAATAATAGATGTGTGAGAAGATTGAACTTATGATGCCGGTTTTTGTCGATGTTAATATTTTTTCTTCAATATTGATTTTATTAACAGAATTAATTAAAAAATTAAAACTTTAAAGTGTGAAATTTATGTTACTCAGGGCAAATGGGATAGGACTGGGTGTTTATTCTAATTTCCGGTCATGTAACACTCCCCATTCCATGCTGATTAGTATCTGGAGCTAAGATGTCTGAGTCATTAAATTAAAAAATAAGTTGTCTAGACCTGTTCGCCCTTGTCTAGCCTGTGTACAGCCTTTGCGGGAAAATGGTGTCCTCTCCAAATTTTACTGATGAGATGGGTTCTTCTTCAGGAGAGAGGTCAGGAATGTATTCTCACAGTGAAGTAAAGTGCATACTCTTGTTTCAGGCTATTGGTTAGCTTGATTTTGCATGCAAGAGCAAGCATTGAAGAGTCCTTAATTTACCTTGAAAGCATCCCAAAAACAGGGTTGCCACAGTCAGGGAAAAGTCAGGGAAAACTGAAAATTTTTCAAGGTCAGGGAAAAGTCAGGGAATTTTTTAAAAAGTCATGGAAAATCTTTGATATTGTCAAAGTCAGTGAAAATTCAGGGAATTCTGTTTTTCAGTTTATAGTTCATAAGTTTTCTTCAAGATTTTGAAATGCATTTTCTTTTGGAAAAAAATGAAAAGTATGCTGCAAAGCAAGCAAAGCAATCAATTTAACACTCTACGTCTGACACATGTATTAGTTGTGGTCAGTGGTTTTCATTGTGAATGCTTTCTTCCAAATTCCTTGTTCCTCTTTCCCCCGAAAAGCGGAAAGAGGTTGAAAATGAAGAGAAAACTGTCAATGGCCTGCAAAAAAAGCTAAGGAGAATGTAAACATGGATTGTTTCTCATTAATAGAAGGTCAGGAAAGTGGCAACCCTGAAAAAGTAAACGTAGGCATGAGCACAAGGGACAAATTTTTCCTCTTTTTGTGCATGAGATTGAGCTTGTGCAATATTCATTTCACTGGAAATGAAACTTTTGGGTTATCCCTTGTGCCTCATGCTTGCGTTCCAAGTAACAAACATGTTTAATAGATTTTTGATAAGAAAAAATGATGTTACCATCAAACTAAGTTCAATTTGGCCTGTTACTGAGAAATCAACAACGATTGTAAGGAAACTAATTCGTTGTTAATTTTCTAGGTTAAAAGTGAGAGAGATTGTCTGGCTGAAGAGGTAGAACAGCTAAAGAGGAAGCTTGATGAGGCTTACAAGGAGAATGCTGCCCTTCATGAACGGTTAGTGCCATGTATGATCTCAGATCAGTACACGTTTCTCGGAAACTGCCCGCCTACCCCTCCCCTAAGTCAACATTTTGCCCTGAGTGAAAAGTAAGTGTTAATGTTGGCTTAGGGGAGGGGTAGGTGGGCAGTTTCCCACAAACATAAATTGATCCGTGATCTCTGTGTAGGAATAGACCCTTCCAGGGTTTTTTTAAAACTTTTGATGAGACCAGTAAGCAAATATCAATCATCAGTGCTGGAAAGCGGACCTTAGGTAACTTACTAAGTTTAAAGGTGATACATTCAAAGAGACCAAAGATATTGATGTGCAAAGTCACGAAGTTTACAGACATTTGTGTGGTGAGAGGAACAAACTTGCTCCCCTCCATACAATTGTCTGTAAAATTGTGTGACTTTGCAGAGTTATATCTTCGTTCTTTTTCAATAAATCACTGTCAAACTTGGCAACTTTGCTGATTTTAAGGCGTTCTGTCTAGCAGTATTGACAGATTTTTGCAAACTAGTTGCGATAAAAAGGTGAAAAAATTGTGGAAAGAACTATACCATAATAGGACATTGGAGTATGCTAGGGCTTTGAACTACAGATAGTGAGATAGGTTGAGAACACTGTACATGAGATCTTGAAACAGAGATAAAAGGTGTGATTTAACATGACAGTGCAAAGCACTAGATTGCCTGGGACTACAACTGCCTCTCATCTCGCCTCTTGCCATGTATTCAGCACATAATTTTGAGACAACAATGAAGACATTGACTTTGTTTTGCATTATTATATCCAGTGCTTCCAGGTTTGTTTGTTCATTTATTCAGAAATCGTCACTTTTCAGTCAAGTTATGTTTTCACAAAATAGGTTACTGGTATAATGAATTGTTAAGTAAAGAAATCTTGACCACTGATAGATAGAAATAAAACTTCTGAGCATCATCAAGGTGCTGCTGAATTTTACAGCAGTGCTAGTAATCCTTTCGTGTTGTCAAACTTAAAGTCCACTGAGTTGCATGTATGATGCGGCACCAAAGTTAAAACAGCATTTTAACAACATCTGACTTCTACATGTGTGTAGTATTTGATACAATTGACTTGGTTGTGATTAGTTGAACCAGTTTGGGTTCTTATTGAGGCATAGAACTTACCTCGGGAACTGTCATGGGGAATTCTTTTGTTCTTTTTTGCCTATCAGCATTGCAGTTTCTTTCAAAGCTAACCTAGGGCTCAAAAAAAAGGCTTGAATTCCAGGTGTCCTTTGGGCAAGAAGCTCTGTTATTATGCCTGCCCAGGACCACTTTGTCAATGATTGTGTTAGCAGTTGACCTGCCTGGACCCTTTCCCATTGGACAAGTAAGCTTTAAAAGTTACTTGCCTAGGAAGAAAATCTACTTGTCCTGGTCTAATAGGCGGGACTTGCCCCCTGGATCCCTTTCTGTAACAAAACAATCAGGCTATGCAGTTGAACTTAACTTTCCCACCCCCCTCTTAATACAGACACCAAATTATTAATGTGGTTAAATGTAATTTAAGCTAAGTTAAACGCGAAACAATGCTGGTCTGGGGTTTCCCTTGTCTCGGTCATGCGCAGTGGTGGGGGATCTGCAGGGGGTCGCGTGGTTTTACAGCTTGGGTTTTGAGGTCAACTCATTTGCGCGTGCACTTTTGCCTTTTCGACGGTGCTTGGCGACTTTACTCCCCGCCCTTCCCTCCCCCTGTTCCGTTAAGTATGTGGTAAGTATCATGGTTCCACTGTCTTCTGTCAGTGTGACGGTGCCTGGTGGTTGCCGCTCACAGGGTTGTCATGGTTACCCTACGCGCTCGGCTCCGGTGCTCGAGGCCCCACCATCTGTCCAGGCACCTTCCCCAAGCTCATCTATTGTTGATGAGTTTAATGGACAGTTTGCTCTGTCCCTCAGGAACAAAAGCCCATACATTTTATCTAAATTCAACCCACTTAATACAGACACCCCATTAACCCTTTAAGTCCCAATGGTGACCAACAACAATTTTCTCCTAACAATATCCATATGTTGCCAAGAGAAATGATTATGAGAGTTATTAAAATGATCACCAAAGAAAAAATGCTTTGATCTGTTATCAAACTCTCTCAACTATTTTTTTAAGGAAATGTATGAAGGTCAGTATGGAGAATTTATATGTAGATATCGGGGCTTAAAGGGTTAAAACTGACTCTTTCTATGATCCCTCAGTGTCCGTATTAACAGGATTTGACTGTATTAAATGATGAAAATCAGGCTTTTGGATATTGGATATTCCATCTTTTATTAAGATGTAAATTCCCTAACGTTACTATTGATTTTTAAGGTCAGCACAAGAATACAAGAACAATTTACAGCTAGTTCATCAGCTGTTATCACAGTAAGATACTTGCAAGCCACTTCTAATGAGAACGTCTGCAGTCGTCACCCAGTCGTCTTACGTTCACCCCTGTCATACGTGGTTAACCAAGTCTTATTGATTTAACTGGCTGATGAATGAAGCTAATATTTTCTTTAATAATTAACATAAAATTAAGTTAATACCACTAAGCATGAGAAATCAACTTATTTATCAGATGATTATCATTAATTTGCTGTGTGGCTAAATAATTATTATTTTAAGTTAATTTTGCTACTGCATGTCATTGGGTTATGATATTGTTTTAATAAGATGTACTAATGCTGTTTATACCTGGGGCGCTTTCCATTTAACCAAAATTCTGGTTTGAAATTTCGGAAATTCCACGTGCCCAATGGAACAGTACATTCCAGTTGCACAGACCCGACCCAAGCCACCGTGCATTTGGTTATTGTTCTTGTAAGCAGGATACAAAAGAGCGGTACTGAGGACAACAATTTTGTCAAATGGAAAGGGACTTTTCGGTCCAACCAACTGAAATGACCAGACCAGTCAAAGAGGACCACCTTCAAAGCTAGTCCTGAATATTCTGGTTGGATCAAACCATAATGGTCCTTTCCATTTGATGTATTAACCAATATTTCCGGAATTTTGGGTTGAATGGAAAGTGCCCCTGACTGCATACTTTTTTTGTTAGTTAATTAACTTCTCCCCGTTTTTAAAAAGTTGTTTCAGTGTTAGATCCGGGAAGGTAAACATAAAGCTGTGAGCATCAACTTACTCTGTATTTCCACGCTAGTCATAGAAAATTAACAGATACAAGAAACCTAACTCAAAATCAGGAGCTGTGTTTTCCTCAGTTCGTGACTCAAGTTGCCCCTGATGTTCACCCGTTTTGCAATGCAATTATCTTATCTATTATTGTTTTGGTTCTAATAGGTATTATGCTGTTGGAGAAGTAGTGGTTACCTCAAAAGAAGAGTTGGCAATTGCACAACAGTCTTTAATAGAGGTATATGCTACATATACATCCATCTAAGTAGTATTATGTCCTGTTAGTAACTGTACTGGGCATAATTCAGTCTGGGGGCTGACTGCCAAAAGTGAAAGCCCCTGGAATACTCCAGGCACTCCATTCAGCGACACAGTTGTTAATAGAGTTTAATCTCCATGAAATAACACAAGGACCGCTCACTAAATGGTTTATCACAGAGTGTTGTTATTCCACTCATTTGTTGTTTCAGCGTAAGTATTAGTTACAGCCAAGGCAAAGTGCAAAGTATGTCATGGTAATACCGAATAAAATTCTTCATTGCACTCTAAAATCCCAGTTTGAAGGAACTTGTGAAATGATTAGTTTAGGTGCATCAGATTCTAACAAAATTAGCAGACTATGTATTTATTTACTGAGTGGGAGGGCTGGATGGGTAGATATTTGGCTTGAGGTCCATGTGTCCTGACTGAGAGCCAAATATTTTCCCGCCCGGCTTGACCTAACTCAGTCAATAAGAATTTTATCGTATGACCATTGTGTTTGAATTTTTTGTAACGGAGCAAACCAGCATCAATCAGGATGCTTTTCTAGCAGTGCCATAAGCGGAACCTTTTATTTTTCATATGGTTTTCCAACAAAATTGCACACAGGGCCATTCAGGTCACATGATAAAAATTTATGTACTTTTTTTTTCTTCACTACTGTGTGAACTATCTGGCTTTTATCTTTATGTCATAACAGGGGCCTATCTTTTAGTTGCATTATTGTTGTTGTTGTTTTTTTCTTCATTCCTAGTAGTCCACTGTTGTAGCATGATCTTGCTTTGCTTGTCCCTTGTTCATTTTACAGGAACAACAAAAAAGTCAGAAGTATCAAAAGCAGCTAGAAGACATAAAGACTCAAATAAACAAATCAGGCAATAAATCAGCAGTATGTATTCTGTACAGTCCATATATTTATTCTATCTTTTTTCTGTTCTCCTAGATGTCTCATTTACTGAAGGTTCAATAATTTTATTATTAATCTAATAATGATTTTGGAGAAATCCTTGGTATTCCTACAAAGTGGTGTTTATTTCTTTTTTTATTGTTTCCTTATTACAGATCAAACTTTTGGATAAAATACTTCCAAAAGAAATAAAACCTCAGGCGAATGGATTCATTTCAAAAGTAAGTAGTCATGTTTTGTTACATAAGATTACATAAGATGAGTTCCTGCAGGAATATATTTAAGGGGGCCTCAAGTGTGATCACCCAGTCCTTAAGGTAATGTTACAGGAGCCGATTTGCAATGACGATTTTTAGCTCAACAAAGCGTTACAACATTGTTGCAACATTGTTTTAAATAGTTACAACATTGTTGATGTTCCAACATTGCAAGGCTGTTGTACACTAAAAATTGTCATTGCAAATTGTCCCATGTAACATCACCTTTAGAAAATGAACCAACCACTCCCATGGCTGGTGATCTCCTCAACCTAGCCATGAGTCATCTGAGCACCAGTCATGCTGTGTTGACAGAGCCAAAGGAAAGACAAGGAGGCAAGAATGAAACCATGAACTGACCAACACTTCAACATGCAGAAAATAATATGATAATTATGCTTCATCCTGCTACAATGAGGAGTGCTCAGAGCAAGTGCCAATATTTTTCTACTGCTGAGAGCAATAAACATACCACCTGCTTTGTCCTTAACTATATTGAACAAAAACCCAGGCAGGTGGTGGTTGAGGATGCAATATTTTGTTGATAATATTGTTGTTGCTGTTGTTTGACTGTTCTTACCAGTAAAAATTAAATTTTATTAATGATCACTGTAATGATAACTTTTTCATTATTTCTGCAGACTAAACCCGCCAGTTCTTCAGATGACCTGATGTTGTCCTGTGCAATTTGCCATGAAAAAATGAGGTCATTAATTTTTAACCATAAAGATGGGAAATGTTTATTAATAAACCTAGTGTGATTCTCAGTTTCCCTTGTCCTTGTCTTCTATGATTGTGAATTATTTACTAAGAGTAGGGAGACAAAAAAGGGTAATGATTTTGTTGATAATCATGAATAATTTGGACTAGAAGACAAAAGAAATAGTGGATAAAACTAGGTTGAAATCATTTTATAGCCTTAATTTGAACTACAACATTGATATATGAATAGCATATATTTCATCTTTTTCATTATTTCAATATTATTTTCATTTGTAATATTATTGGCCTCCTTGTTTACTACAGAGTTGCTGACCTGGCTTCGCACTCCAAGGTGTGTTCACCCAAGGACTCAGGGAAAACTCTTACCACGTGAGTTAAAAATTAATATCCCACTTTGTTTAAATGTGACTAAATGAAATTTAGTGTAAGTTAGACTCAAGACATTGCTGACCAGTCCTTCGTCTGAGATTTATAGTGATGCTCGCATTGCTTTGCTGGGGCATTTGAGAATTTACAGATTCTCAGTTGAGGTCACCGTATAACGTTCATTTGAAAATTGTAATTTGTTTACCCATGAAGCACTTAGGAGTTTTTATGAACTCGTTAAAGGTTTCCATGCATTCCAGATTTGAATTAAATATGGAAGTGTTGGTTTTGAGGAGAGGGGAAAGCCGGTAACCCGGTGAAAAACCTCTCGGAGCAAGGGAGAGAACCAACAACAAACTCAACCCACATATGGCTTCGATGCCAGGATTTGAAGCCAGGTCACATTGGTGGGAGGCAAGTGCACCACCACTGCACCTGACTCATCCCAGTCATCTTCACGTGACGCACGTGGCAGGAGCTGGGGGGTGATGGGAAGGGAAAAGGGAGGAAGACCTCTCTCCTCCTCTCTTTCCTCCTTCTCATCACACCCCTCGCACCACTAAGGAGAGACAGAGAGAAACAACTGGGGACGAGTCAGCCACTACAACACCCTTGCTCCAATACTGATGAGTGGAAAATGGAGGATAAAAATAAGTCAAGGTGACAGGGCATATCTATGACCAGATGACAAAATAAAAGAACAAAACCCAACAGGAACTGTCTCTTCAGCACCCAGAAATACCCACACTGTCGCTTTACGTTGCTCATGCTCGTTAAGTGTTCTGCTCTGTACCCAACCCTCCACTTTGATAAATATTGGCAAGTACGCTAAGGTGTCACCTGTTAGCAGTGTGATGGAGTCTGGTTTGATGCCACTCCCAGGGTTTTCATGCTTATGCACTCCTCTCAGCTGCTGTTTTTTCTCCACTAACCATGGGGTATTTACAGGATGTTTGTCACATGCACCTGGCTTAATGGCCTTAGTTAGCTCCCTTGAGTATCCTGTAGCTCAGTGGTAGAGCAATTGAACTTTTATTCCTCCTTTCCTTTAGTTAATCTTATATTTTTGGTTATTGTTTTTTCTAGTCCAACAACACCTTCATCAGACTTACTACGAGTTACAGTAACAAGTTCTGAAACTGATGAGCAAAATGCAACCTTTAAAGTTGTAACAAAGGTAAGAAACTTCTATAAACCTACAGTTGCATGTAAAGGAGTGAGTTTAACTGCTTGTCCCCATAGGACGTTGCATCCTTGAATCCACGATGGAAAGTGTTTCTGTCGATAAGCTATTTGCGTGATGATGTCATTTTACTACCATGACCTTAATCCTTCAAAGGTTCGCTTTCTTGTGCAAATTAGAGCTTTTGTTATATAAGCCTCGCTGGGATAACCAAATTTAAATAGTCCTAGTATTCAAAATATTTCCAAGTTTAAAACATGCTTGCCAATCAGGGACATGTCAAAAACATCCCGTATGTCCCTTTCCCATTGCTTTCTCAGTCTTCCTCTTTCTCTTTTCCCATCCATCTTTCCATCCAAGATGATCTTTCCCAAGCCCTCACTGCTTTTCAAATTGCCAAAATACTTCAGTTTAGCAAGGAAATCCTGCTTCTTGTTGAATTAAATGCGTCATAATTTCTTATCTAATCTCCAAGCAACAAGCTCGACTTAATGCCTTTTTAAGAGCATTCTTGTTAGTTCTGTGCTCTGTCCAGGACATTTTTAAAAATTATCCTGTAGCACTTCATTTCAAAAGCACTAATTCTTTTTAAAGTTGTTTTCCAAGTGTCCACATCTCACAGCCATATTTAGCTAAGGGGAAAACGTATGTTGTACAAATTCCTAGTCTTGCTTGAGGATCTTGACCATTCCACAAGAATTTCAACTTTGACAGCTTGTTTGTTGCTATAGCAAGCCTTTTCTTTATTTTCTCTGACCCCTCTCCATCTCCAGATATTGTAGATCCCAGATAAAGATTTTTGAGAACCCATTCCAAGATTTCACTCTTTACTTTTATTTCTATTTCACAATATTCCTTTGTTTGTTGGTCTTCATAAGCTTGGTCTTTTTACTTTTAAATTCAGGCATTTTCTCACCATTATGTTTGTCTACTGCCTCAACTAGATAAGATAATCTCCTTGCACAATGGGATTGCAAGAAAGTATCATCTGCATAATGCAGATCTCAGATTTTATGTTCATGGATTCAGCTTGTTGAAGTCCATTGATCCCCCATCTTTTCCATCATCTCTCATATAAAGGAGGAAGTAAAACCAAGAAATGTATTGGAGGATAGTATGGAGAATTATGCATGTTAATGTTATTTATTAGCGTTAATTTGCACTGTGATGTTTTATCTGTAGACTACCTTAGAAGACTATAAATTTTCGGACTATGAGGTTCATCGCAGTGAGGCTGATTTTGAGTGGCTTCAATCTGCCTTTGAAGAGTCTTGTCCTGAAAGAATTATTCCTCCAATGGTGACACACTCTTCATTACATGGTATGTGGCATTGTCCCAATTTTCGTAGTGAAAGCCCTTTATTTGAAACCTATCGTAAATGACTTCCTCTCACAAGTGACTGCGACCAATTTTAGCTTGATGGTCTTATAGTTTTTCATTGTTTTTAACCCCCTGTAAGCTACTACTTGGCACAATGTTCACTGGACATGTATGTAACATGCCGCTCAGAGTATACAAAGGAATTTCAGTAGCAGCTTGAAACTCAAGAAACTACATGACTATAGCAGATGTGTCAGGACCTATTCTTGGAAGAGGCCCTCTGTTTTGTCAATTCTCATATAAAGCGAACACTAAATCTTCATATTCTGGGTGGTCGCTTACGGGAGGTTTGACTTTACTTACAATGTTTATTTTATTACGTTTAGGCAAAATGAGAGAAGTTCAAAGGTTTTTGTCAAGAATATGTGCGCACAAGGTAAAAAGATTCAAAAGTTAATCACTTTGATTTGACTGTCTGTCTATAAGAAATATATGTTTTTGATTTTGTTTTTTAAAATTCATAACGAAAAATTAAAAAAACATGAATTAACAGCATGTCAAAATAACACTTTCTTAACTCCATGACCACAAGTTGAGACATATTTTTTGCATGCTAACATTATAGCAAATATTTTCTCCATTTTAGGTTTTAAGGAAGCATCGTCTTTTGAACTTGTTTTTAACTGGTGAAGGACAGGTATGGTAAATCCATAAACGTGTCGTTCATTTTAAATTGCCAGCTGCTCACAGTCTGCAGTCAAACCTACATGTAGTGGTCACCCTTGGAGAATGACCAAGTGACTGCGTAATACAGGTGAACCATTTAATACAGGTTTGACGAACCAAAGAGTTGATCAAGAAAATATTAATAATGATGATGACAAAGCATAACTCAAAAAGTTGACCTCAAAGTGTTTCTACCTTGTACTTCTACTACTGTGGCCGAGCAAGAGCCTGCCTTGATTCATCACACCTCTTCCAGGTCTCCTTATCCAACATAACTGTTCTCAGCTCTTCCGTGCTTTTCAAGCTGGTATCGCTATTAAGGTTATCTATATAAGTAACAGCTGGTCTGCCCATGCTCATGCACCCACACATTGGCTGCCAAAGTACTAGTTAAGATGCTTCCTCCTCTGGGTGTCTAGCACAATGGCCGGCTAGCTTCAGCCTTCTGAAACCCACTTTCGATGACACTGGTGGTAAATTACCATATAATTCCTTGTTGATCAATTTATCTTGCCAAGACACATTTAATACTTCTACCTCTTCTTGTGCCAAAAGAAAGGGAGTAAAATACCACTGAATGCCATGCTCAGTGTATCTATTGCACTTGTATCTTGGCAAAGTGACCGTTCAATAGAGGTGAAAACAATAAAGCTGGGACCACAGAAAAGGTGACCGCTTAATAGAGGTGACCACCAAAATAATACAGGTCAGATTTACAGTGAATTTTGGGACTTAAGAAAGTGACCACTTAATCAAGGGTGACCGCTCAATGCAGGTCCTCTTAATAACGACCATTTATTTTAATATTAATTTTTTAGGATATTCAGAAAGCTAGGGAGGAACTCGAAAAGAAAAGAAGAAAAGAGGATACTTCAGAACATGAATGTTTAAGGAAAGAATCCTATGATCAAAATGCTCCCGTAATAAAGTGTCAGGTCAGTAGTCTGCCTACTGTTATCCCTTTAAATCCCAAGATCGACGTTTAAATTCTCATTTGTGCTCCATATTCGTTTGCTGTAGAAATAGTGGGGAAAAGTAAATTTATCTTGTGTGATCAGTGTCCGTAATTCTCAAGACCACTCTGATAAAGCATTGGCGTTACAAGGAGAAATTTGATGCTGATCACTTGTATGGTCGTTATCATCACCATCATCATCACCATCACCATAAACACCATTACTGTTTTAGAGTTGAAAAGCTACTGCTGTCTATCTGTCTAAGCTCTGAATTGGCGTTGTCAATATTATTCTCTAGTATATTAATTTTATTTGTTATCATTTTCATCACCATTCTCCTTTCTTTTGTTGTTGTTTTGTGTAGTACTTGTTTTATTTTGTTATTCTTTTTGGGGGGTAGCTCACAAGTTTGGGATATCTGTCAGGACTGTGCTCTGGCCCCTGGCACCTTACTTTTTCTCTTGGGTGACTAGAAAATTTTAGTTTTTTCATACTAATCATAAGCTGGGCACCCTAGATTTTACAGGTTCAGAGCACTTGGCTCTCTTGAATTTTCCTTAGAGCACAGCCCTTGTGATTGTAACACGTCACTAGGTTTATGGACACAAACCTGAGTGGTTTAAATAATAATATAATAATAAATTATTAAAGCTGTAATTTTCATGGTTAACAAATATCATTTTGACGTTCTCTTTCCATAAATTATAGAGATACTTGGGGCAGTTTTCTGATAACCTTGAGGGATTAATAACTCATCTTCAGGACAGTTTAAACAAGAACACAACAGGTATTAACAATAATTAGCTGAGAGGTCATTGTCAGCATGTTGTGTTGTTTCTTGTAATTAATGTTTTTTGACTGTTTTTTAGATGGTCCTGGTGTTTGGTTTAAATCTTTGGCAGACTGTGAGCCAGCAGATACATACTTAAAGGTACATTGTATCCATGTTTTAATTTATTTTTTCTTGTATGCTGTACATAACTCCATTTAAACCGAGGCATCAATTTATTAAAATGTTTGTAAGTGTACATTTAATTTGCAAGTGTATCCATGCGTCTGAAAACAATAGCCACACTTTAAAACTAGCTTAAACTGGAAGAAATTTTACTCAATTTACCCCAGTCAAAAACAATTAATCTTGTGCAATCTTAAGTGATATTCACATTGCTTGATTGATACATGTTTGGCCTAAGCATCATTGAAACTAGCTAGTTTCAATCTCAATCAGTTGAAACAAGTAAAACATAGTGGTTGACAGTAGAGAGGTGAAGAATTGAAAGAACCTAGTCCATGGCTCTATGAGGAAAAAGAATTTTTAGTACAATTTGGGCTGACAAAGAAATTCAATACCAGTTATCAGGCATGGGCTGCAAGCAAAAATAATGTGTTAATTAATTTGTTCTTCTTGTTTTAATTTTCCTGTAGATAGCTGCAGAAGCTCTTAGCAAAATCTGCATTGAGTTGGAAAATAATAGAGTATGTAGCATTGCAAGATATGTTGTATTTAAATATTTTCAGAGGTGGATCTGCATTTTCTGGGGATTTCTTGTTTCTTGTTACCAATACTTCAATCCTCTCCTCGCATCCTAACTTTTCTCTCATTTAAATTTTGTAGGAAACAACAGAAGAAAAACTCATCGTGAATGATTTGGAGAGTGTCAATCACTATGTTAAAAGTGCCATGGTTTGTGGTTTTATTCATTTATATATATATACTTCTGGTTTCATTTACAGTTACTTACTGTTTACTGGCTTTGTAGTCAACCAGTGATTTTGTTACCTCTATGTCCTGCGACCCTGACGCATAAAAATCCCCAAAGATGCAAAATAATTCATGTCATACATCCTATAGGATGCAAAGATCATTCAATCGATCTAAACATGTGTATTTGTAGAAATATCCCATTCGTGTAATTTCTGTTGCATTTATTATGGCTTTTGTTTAACGATGCATATTTTTTAGCCTTTGTTTTGCTCTAAAATAGAAAGACTATATTTTAATAATACAGTATCAGTGTGCAAAGAAAGTAGTGTCCGATAGCCCGGGGCTGGTGGATTTTGCTATCGGGCTAGTGAATTCTGTTTTTAACTTGCCCAATGGGCAAGTGATGTTTTTTGAAGAATTCGAAAAACAGAAGAACTGTGAAACCAATTGTGCTCATCAAAAAGCTTTTGGGGCTAGTTGAAATTAAGTCTGGGCTAGTAATGCTAGCTTCAGCTTGCCCGAATGGCAAGCTGTAAAAATGAGTTCTTTGCACCCTGCAGTATACTGTAATATAGAGTTCTGGAGTCTGTCTTCAGATAAACTGTCTTGTTACATAAAGTCCCAAACATTTTCAATTTCGGACTCGTTTTTTTTTTAACTGGGACTCATGATTTTTCACAAGATGAGTCCCAGGACTCACCATAACATATTTGTAACAAAATCACTGGTCGACACCATCATCTGATAAACAATGAATCTTTGTAAAGAAGATTTTATAGCTTTACAGTCAAGCCAGGTCAAGCATACCCCCCCCACCCCCCCAAGATTACATTAATGAAATTTTCTTTGAAAGTTAAATCCATTTATCTAGTAAACATAGATTTCAGATTCATCTATGCATTCCTGCACGAGTAATAAGAAGTGAATTCACAAGCGAGGTTAACATAATGAAATTCCTACTTGTTCAGTTTTCTTGAATTTGATATAAATTAATATAATTTAACTTAACTTGATTACTAGAATATCTTTTGATTAAAATAGGCACTTCTTCAAAGGATACAAGCAGCAGTAGAAAAGTTCCTGTACTGGGATGAAGAAGTCAGGGCTTATGAACAAATGAAGGTAGGTGATGATGTCACAGAAAAACATCTTTCTTAGCCATACCAATACTTGGTGAAGTTTTGTTAATGGAACATAATTGTCAGTTAACCAAATTGTCTGCCATAATGACTCCATGTAGTGCATGCCCAAAATCTTTATCATTGTAGTTGCTTGTTTGGCAAGGAGTGAATAGCTTGCCTCATCTTGCATCATAAGCTTGATCTGTTTTGCATCAGCAATTTGTCCCTGTTGCCTGCTACCTGCTGAAAATATACTACCAACCAGGGAATCTTCCAGTAACATGATGGGAAATAAAATATTAAAGACTTACTTGCCCGGGCAGTAGAAACATATTAAACAATGCCTATCACAGGTCAACTCAACAAGCACTCCAGGGGATGTTTGAACATGGACTTGATTGTACAGTAAACTCTTTCTAAACTGCCTTTACGTGTCCGATCTAGAGAGATGTCTGTGTTATAGAGAGTCAAAAAAGGCTTGGAGTAATGAAAGGCAGGGACCAACTGAAGGTGTCTGTTTTAGCGACGTGTATGTCTGATAGAGGTGTCTGTTAAGATAGATTTGACTGTATTACTATATTGAGACCTTCTCTTATGTTTTCCTAGACAACAGACCTTTGTCATGCTGTGGCCATTTTGTCTCAGGAGATTTAAAAATCTTTGTTTATGTATGGCTAACCTCTTTCTCTCTACGAGGCTAGCCATGTATAAACATAGCTTTTTTAATGTCTTGGGACAAAATGGCCGCTGCGTGACAAAGGTCTATATAATATTTTTTGTTTAATTCAATACTTTTTGATGCAGAAGCCTTTGTCAGAGGGTGAATTGGATACTGGCAATCAAACACAGAAATGGGCAGAGGTGAGCATATCTCATGTCTATTCAGCATTCAAAGATAGTCATTTCCTATACTTACTGTTGTCTGGGGCTAGAGTTGATTTTGCATGACTTTACCTGGTTCATGTTGAGACCTTGACGCAGGATTTTCTCAAATTTGTTTTGTGCGATTTCTAAACGTTCTTTTATGTGCAACATATGTTAAAAGTCTTAAATCATGCTTGCATTAAATTTTTGAATAAATTGATGTTTAAAGTAAGTTTCAGACTAATTCCTGACAAACCCTTATTAAGCAGCCAACCCGCTATCAAGCCGCCACTTTCCATTTCCCCGAGGGTGGCCACTTAATAGGGGTTCGACTGTATTTTTTTTCTGTCCATTGATTATTATAAGGTGCTTCGAAAATGTTTTTGGGGTAGAACATCCAACATGAATTCACAATTTGCCTTGAAGGGCGAGCTGGAAAATTTATCTTCTTTCACCCTCCTGCTGATAATTTGAGTCTTCTTCAAACCTAACATGTGGGACCCTATTTATACATTGCCTGATAAAGGAACACATAACCCTTTAAGCCCCAATATCCATGTATAAATTTACCAGGCTGATCTCATTATATTTCCCTAAAGAATTAGTTGGCAGTCATTTCATTGACTCTCATAATGTTCTGTCTTTATGATGTATTGATGTTAGTCACGCGGGAGAAATTTGATGTTGGTCACCTTTGGGACTTACAGGGTTATTAAAACCTTTCTGAGTACTCTGTAGATTTGTAGCAATGACACTGATGTTTTAGTCAAGTGTTCTCTTGTAATTGAAGGCAAATTCTAACTGTGCCGATGCCAAAACCAAGCTGGAGCATCTGTGTAAAGACCTGTCCCCAGAGCTGGCCCACTTTGACTGGAGGAAAGAAGTGGAATTACGGGAAATATTGATTGAATATTCAGCACTAAGATCAGAACATTTTGAAAAGGTATGTGTAAGGAATTCCAAAAATTATAGTACCGGTAGATAAAATTTTGGATCAATGTAGGTTTCTGGGAAACTGCCCACCTACCCCTCCCCTAAGCCATCATTTTGCCCTAAGCGAGAAGTAAGTGTTAATGTTAGCTTCGGAGACAGGTAGGTGGGCAGTTTCCCTGAAACCCAAATTGATCCAAATTTTCCAGGAGAGAGTAGCCTTTGATCAGACTCTATCTCCAGTTTAATATTGGAAGAGTTATTGAGTTTGCTTATAAGCAGCACTAAAATTTTTGCATGATTGTGGGTTATGGCAAGAGAAGTGTTTCTTGAAACCTGAGGTCTCAAAGTGAGGCCAATAGGCCATTTCCGAGTTGTGTTAAGCCTCTGCTTCAAAGTGAGGCTAAGTGCGAAGCCATTGATATGGAAATGTTTTTTTTCTCATGCTAATAAAACTCATTTTCACAACAAAGGTTTTGCACTTGGTCTCATTTTGAAAGTGAGAGTTTTTGGAACTCAGAAGTGGCCTATTAACAGACCTGCATTTTGTATAGGTAATGGCATGATTTTTAGTGATATTTGGCGTAAATACCACCAGTGATATTTCGAAATTGTTATATATAATTTAGGCAAGTGAAATTTGAGATTATATTACGAGTGGTACTTATGCCAAATATCACGTACAAATCATGTTATTATTTGTTTATACTACTACCTGCCAAAGTTTTGTAATTTTCACATGTAGGTATTTCAAATTAAGCTGAAATACCACTGCTCTAAGCCAATCAAATTGCAGAAATTTCTCATGAAGTAGTATCAGGGGAGAAACCCTCTGGTAGACTCCATCCAGGAGGGAGTCCCCCCACCCCCATGTGAAGTAACTATTGTTTATAACTGCTTTTTGTTACTTAACCCATTCGCTCCTGGAGATTTTGCCAAAAAACGCGTTTTGAAGCTAGTCGAGTAATTTTCTGGTCACTGTCGTGCTATAAAGATCTAAAACTTACCTTCTGATCCAGATGCAAAATATCAGCTTGCGAAGTTCGGGCATGCGCAGAAAGTAAAATTTCGAGATAGTTTTTGGGTTTAAAAGTGACACAGCAGTCTTGACTTTTACTTTTTGCTTTCTCTCCTCCCTTCTTTTTTCGCTTTTCTTGCCTCATTTTTTTTGTCTCTTGCTGGGCATTTAGTAGGCTTCATTTTGGTGGGAAGAGTTTTTAGGAAAGCTTCTAGGATCTTAGGATTAGGTGAAAGGAAAGGTAGGTGAGCAATGGAACAAGATTTTCATGGAGATTTTCAGGTCAATGTTGCGTGGTTTTTTGCTTCTTTCTCCGGTGTCCTTGACTGAATTGTGCTCATTCTGGTATGGTTTGAAAGATCTTTCCACCTGCACAAGTTAGCAAAGAAAGTTGTCCTTGACCGTTAAAACTGATGACATCACAAAGGGTAGGAAGGGACTGGATCCACACGGGTGGTTATGGACGGTTCAGGGGCGAATGGGTTAACTTGTTGCAGTAACACAAGGGAGACTTGTAAGCAGTACTTGAAAAAATTTCACCCTTAGTTTCTTTGGTTCAATTTTCCCAAACTGGCCAGTTGATGCTTAATATTGATTGTGATAAGCGAGCAACCATTTTCAGTATTTAGAATAAAAGATATTATTGTTTTTGTATATTTAGGTTCAAAGTAAATGGTTTGGAGTGAAGCTCATGGTGGATGCGCCGGTACCTGTGGAGGTGCGAGCTATTAAGTGTGTCGAGGACTCATGACATGAATAATGGATGAATAATAGCACTGGTCAAGGTGTAATGATAATCAGGGGCCAATCATGAGGTCAGTATGCCTGATCTGAACAAGCTTGGTCCTTAAAGACTTCGGTGTATTTATGGCTAAGAGGCTACTGAACAGAACTTAGGGTAACGGAGTTCCAAGCTGGTGAGATCACCAAGGTCCATTTTGCTTGCTTGGGTAGGTAATCGGAGCACATGGCTTGCTTGCTTCATATTGCCTGACTGTTTAGCCAGTTATGTAATAATAATTTCTTTAACCCGTTCGCTTTTGGGAATTTTTCGAAAAATGCATTTTGAAACCATTCAAGCCATTGCCTGGTCATTGTTTGGCTATAAAGAGCTAAAAATAACCACAAAGCTGTTTATTGGTTGCTGTCTTCTGATCCAGACACAAAATATGAGCTTTCAAAGTTTGGGCATGCAGAGAACTCATATTTTCGAGTTAGTACAAGATTTTAAGGAAATTTTTGGGTCAATATTACATGGTTTTTGCCTCTTTCTCTGGCCCCCTTGACTGAATTGTGCTTATTCTCGTGTGGTTTGAAAGATTTCTTCACCCTGCTCAAGTTAGATGACAAAGTAATTGTCATTGAGAATTAAGGTGGATGACATCCCAAGTGGATGAAGGGATGTGAATCCACTTGGGTGGTTGAGGAGCGAATGGGTTAATTCACTCTTTTAGTCTGTTATTTTCAGTGTTAAACTGCAAATTCTCTTTGTTTCTAATACACTGATCATTCTTTGGCAAAAAAGAAGTAAGATGTTGAAACATTAAGTATTCTCCTTGTTAAGTCATCTCCTTGGGAACCTTCTTGTTATTAAAGATGTATCAATAGATAAAGTTAGGTAGTTTAATGTATGAAAATGATAAGTGAAATTATGATAATATAGACTATGAATGACTTTTTATATACAGAATTGGACTCAAAAATTACATTTTTAAGAGAGCCAAGATTATAGGCACAAAATATCAATGGAATTTAAAGGCCAGTTCGCATGAAAATCTATTTGGTTGTACAAAGTTAAAAAAAGAAAAAGTTCAGTGATATAAAACACAATCTAATACTAATACGTTGTGGAAAATCAACAGACATTTGTGCCATATATAATATTATTATGAGTCCCTTTTACCAGTAAAAAGATTAGTAATATAAGGAAAAACGTTATTTTCCCCAAGTCTCCTAATACTTGTCGCAACATCTGAGTTGTTGATTACGTACAGTGTATGACAAGTTCAATAATTTACTGATAATAAGACAGTAGAGAGGTTTAACGTCATCATCTTATGGCAAACATCCACTTTTGTTTTTTCGGCTTGGCTGTTCATTTTCATTTCGGTTTGCATATCAATTTCACTTGCACCCAGATGGATAAATTATCACTAAGAAATTAGAACTTCTTAGTGAAAAAGGAGACAGCAAAATTAAATGTGAGCAGTTGGAAATAAATGAACAAGAAATAGAAGTCTGCTGTTTGCCATGAATATGATGGTTGATCACTCTAGTATTGTAGAATACACTCATGAAGTACATTATTTACAAGCTCATAGACTGTTCACAGTCCCCTATTTTTCCGTGTGATCGTCGAGATCGAGGGCGTCTTACCGTTAATGGCAGCCATCTTGATTTTTAGATGTACCAAGGGGGCGGGCGTTGGGGATTATAGCTCTAGTGATACTCTTCCCCAGGTCAGACTCGGTACAACTGAAAATCAAGATGGCCGCCAGTGCTAATTCACCTTTGTCACAGTTTTCTTTGCTACAGATTCAGTCTCCTGTACAGTTCAGGGTGCAAAGAAAGTCAGTTTCACAGCCTGCCATTCGGGCAAGCTGTAGCTAGCATGTACTAGCCCACAAGTCATTTCAACTGGCCCCAAAACCCTTTTTGAGTGGCAGGATTGATTAGCCCTTTTGTAATTTGAATTTTCCCCAAAAAAAGCACTTGCCCATGGGGCAAGTTAAGAACAAAAAATCACTTGCCCAATAGCAAAATCGACTAGCCCCGGGCTATCGGACACGACTTTCTTTGCACACTGCAGTTGTTTTGCAATTGTTCTTGGAAGCAAAGTTATGTTACTGTAAGGAAGACTAAAAAAATATTATTGTCAATGTTCACTACTATGGTCTTAAACATCCTGGCATCTCAAAATTAATGTGAGAATTGTTAAGCTTCAATTTCAATTTACAGAGAAATCAAAATTTATTAATTTAAAAGAAGTGAACTGGCTATTATTAATTTTTTGGGAAGTCTTGAAGTGACTCCAAAACTGACACATCTCATCTCTCAAACTCTCGGATATTTTGGATTTTACATGAGTGCCTCTTCTGGTGTGTAAAGTACTCATTGATTGATATAGAAAGCTTTAGATTCTAAAATGAGGTTGAGTAGGGGTACAAGATTTTCTTAATACTAAGTGGTGTTTGTGCATGAGCCAGCATCATTTTTGCAAGAAAATGTGGTAGCCATCATCACTCTACTGTAAGTTTAGCAAGAATATCATAGTGGTAAGAATGTTAGAAGTTCTATCATTTTGCAATTGGGAGAAGGCTTAACTTCTTCTGATAAAGGTAACAGTGCTAATTTTTCTGGTAAAAAGTACTAAAAACTTTAAATCAAATCACATAGTCGGTAGTTATTCTCTCCTCAAATCTAAAGGCCTCTAACAGTAATAAATCACTTGGCACACCTCCAAATCAACAAAATGCCTAGATTTTATATAATATATAAGTTAGATTTATATCCTTTTCAAGTAGGACACAAACGTTGCATAGCATAATAAAAATAATGTAATAATAATAATCAAAATGTTGTTTAGTTTTAACAAGTTTTTACTTGCAACCTCATAACTCATTTTTATAGTTTTCATTTTTCTTTCAATCATTTCATCACATATTTAATTCTTTTTTTACAAAATATAAATTCAGCATTTCATTCCAGACATCAAACAAAATATGTAATAGTTAAAAAGAAAATAAAGTTCTTATAATGTGAAGTAGCTGTGCTTTATTTTCCACTGCAATGACATAAGGTAATCCATCCTGTCAGACTGTAGTGATAAAGTGGATAACCACATTGTCAAAGTGAGGCAAGGGGGTGTTGTTTCACTCCAAAGCCTCCCAAGCATATACTCCTTTGGCTTGTCACACAATCCTTCCCAATGAAGGATTGTGTGACAAGCTGAAAGAATATCTGCTTACTCTCTTACCACACGTCTCATGCTACAATGTGTGGGTACCCAAATTGGCCCATAATGGTCTTCCTGTGGATGCCAGGTCTTTCGAAGAATTTGTTTTTGTCTTTTTAACTGCTGGATTGATACTTCTCAAACTCATTAATAATTCATTAAGAAAATACAAAGGAAATTAATGTTTAATGAGTGTTTGGAAATCGGATGAAACACTGCTTAGTATTTGCATCCTTAATTTCTCCTTCAAAAATGATTTTGTTTGAGAAGAAATATCAAACATTCGACACAGTGTTTCATCACCAGATGAAACACCTCGAAGTTCGTCAAAAATACTCCGCTGCGCGTCGTATTTTCAACTCTCTTCTTGGTGTTTCATCTGGTGATGAAACACTGCATCTCATGTTTGATATATTACATCACTTATTTTCCTGGCTAGAACCTTGGTGTGAGTCTCATAAACTTTCATACAATCCATACAGTATAGTTGCCTGCTTAGTAGGCAAAAGATGATGAATCCATACTGTGAGTGCTTTATGCAGTTCATTGCAAGCTGACTGCCCGCTCCCACTAGACCTGTATATTGTACTTTCAACAAATTATGACTGTTTGAAAAACTAGTCTGTATTTTTTCCACATCTCACCAACAGTAAAACTCTTGTTGGCAAATTACGCACTATCATTAATCCAATCTAAGGCAGCTGACTGATTTAACAATCGGCAAAATACTCACGGCCCTTTATTACAACTTTTCATTTCTTATGTAACTGGTTAACCCCACATCTGTTAACTGCTTCAAAGCAATGTCACTCCAGCAAGCATTTGCAGCTGGGCTGGCGGGACTAGGATGCATTATTGAATAAATTTCAACGTTGAAGTCTTTTAAAGCTTTGTGAGCTCTTTCCTCTGCAAACTTTCCTACCCCAACAACTATCTTTACCCCAGAAAGTTTAACAAACTCTGCCAGGGAATTGTCACAAATTTCCAAGAGTTGCTCTCTTTCTCGCTTTGGTAGTTGAGGTGGGGTTATATTCTTTCCACTTGATGACATAAAAACCAGAGGGCAATAGTTATGAATAAAGCAACTGTGGAAAAATTTTTCTGGAGATTTACTCTGTTCCTTGATAAAGCCCCATAGCCGGCTTCCACTGACTTCACCTCGTTCACAGTCTAAGCCGTGGATTGGTCTCTTGGGGTGTTCTTTCTCTGGTTTATTCACCTGTCCTACAATTTGGAGCCACTCTTTGACATGTTTTGTGTCTCCAAAAGGGACCTGTCCAAAGAAAACTGGACTTCACTCACTGGTAAACATCAAAAAGTTTGTTTGAGAATGGTCAAAAAGCATAATATGCAACAGAGCCATAAGATAATACAGTAAACTTCCTATACCAAGCAAGGACCCTGCTGTTCTTTAGTCATTCGACTGCAACTCACGCTAAGAAAAATGCTTGTAGTCTGGACAACTGAAACTTAAGCACTTTGGAGTGGTACAAAGAGCGTCCAAGACTTGACTGTACCATGGAGAGCAGTGCCGGATCCAGACCTTGAGATAAAGGGGGGGCTGGTCAACCAGATCCCTAGGTAAGGGGAGGCCCAGTCTCCAAAAAAATTTTGCGATCCAGGAAGGGGGGGGGGGGCTCCCCTAGATCCCCCACTGGACAGTGATGGATCTAGGGAAGGAGCCTAAGGCCTAAAGGGAAGGATACTGAAATACTTTATTTCGGCTAGACAGGTGCCTCTCTCTGTCCTCAAGGTTTAGATTCACCACTGATGACTGGTGTTCATTTAATCATTAGTTGACCATAATGTTATAATTATTTTAACAGAGACATGAATTGGTGTCAAAAAAACCCAGATATGATTAGCCCATGTAATCCTATTCCCAACCTTTTGTCATTAAAAGAGTTCGATGATTTTTCAATCCTTTAAAAAAAAACGTCAAAAGAAGCCTTTACCGTTTTGAATAAATTTGCCAAGACGCCTGGGGGACCTGTTTCAGGTATTCTGTCATTTTTTATGGGTGTACCATTCAAGGGTTTACAGGGTTTGATCTGATCCAGGGTTTGATGATGGCCTAGCTCCATGAATGAAGTTGCACATAACATTATTGTAAGAATTTACTCCAACTTGTTTTCATTAATAATCTCAGAACAGTACTGCACTATGGTATTCTTGTGTCTGCTTTCTATTTCACACAAAATCAGTCTGTTCCAGGCTTTCAGATAGTATGGATGACGCATAAGTGAAAGGCACACAAAAACAAGAGTGTGTAATCTGGAAAAAGGGGGGCAGGGGCGGGAAAAAGGGAGAGCTCCCTCTCCCCAGTTTCCTCCCGCTTTATTTTTGTGTTCATGCTTTCTTAACTTTGCAGACTCAACTATCTCAGAGCCTAGAACAGGATAGTATGAAACCCTTTCTAGAGTCAGAAGGTTCAGGATTGGTGGGGGTGGGGGGGAGGAGGGGGGCTTCATGCGGGACGGTGATCTTCAGACACTGACTCCTTAATTAGTGTCATTCTATAAATAAAGATGATTGACCTTAACTTCTGGCAAAAGTTTTCACTCGCCCTACAGGAGGGTATAATTCCTCCCCTGAAGTCCCTTGCCCCTATTATATTTTTACTGCAACCTTTCCCTCCCTCCACCACAGTACAAACGTCCAAATGTCAGAGGGGCGCAAACCCGCTGGTCAAGTTTTGATAGATAAGAAGTGACGCAATGAACATGTGGCTATTTTTTTGCTTACCCCGTTCTGCGCCATCCCAAAAGGACCTGGATTCATTCCCAAGAAGAGCACTTTTTGTCCATCTTTACAGAACTTTCTCATGTAGTCTTCGTGTGTTTCTTTAGCATATTTTAAAGGGTTATAAATGTGTGTAACAGGAGTAGAAAACTTCAGTGAGTCAAGATTGCAACATAGATCTCGCTCAAGCTGTAGAACTTTGTCGCAGAGATCGGTAGATACCTCCGTTCTCCTCTTTTTTGCCGGAATAATGTCCTTGCTAATGTCCGCCATATTGTTTAATGTGCAATTCCAAATAAGGAAGAGGATTATTGTTATTCATTGACCACGTGGTCGGCGCAAATTTGCTACATTCTGTCTTAGCGTCCACCATAATCAGGAAAACTTTTCACGCAGAAAGAGTTTGAAAGCCATGTCTGCAGAACCCGAACAACTGCGAAAAATTTTTGTTGGTGGACTTAACCGTCGGACAAGCGAAGAGTCTTTGAAGGAATATTTTTCTCTATGGGGAAATATCGTGGACTGTGTTATTATGCGAGAAGGGAAGAACGGACCTTCGCGTGGGTTCGGTTTTGTGACATTCGACAGCTCTCAAGCGGTGGATGATTGTCTAAAAGTAAAGCGACACGAACTAGATAATTGGGAGATCGAGCCTAAACGGTCGGTTCCTAGAGGAGAAGTTACTTCGCGAACGCGGAAGATTTTTGTGGGTGGACTGGCGAGCACCGCCACGGAAAGTGATGTCGAAGAATACTTCGGCAAGCTTTGCGCCAAGTTTGGTGTAGGGAAGGTTCTCGACGTTGACCTAAAGAGGGATAAAGAAAACCCCAACCGACTCCGAGGCTTTGCTTTCGTTACATTTGACTCCGAAGAGGTCGTGGATAAAATTTGCTCGATTACCATGCATCAGATCAAGATGAAGCAGTGTGAGGTGAAAAGAGCTGAATCGCAAGCAGCTATGAGAAAGAAAGAAGAAGAAGAGTTCAGGGTCAGTGGCCGGTCTCGTGAGTCGCGATCATCGCTGGACACACCCAGCTTTGGAGGTAGGAAAGTTCCTTCCCCCCCACCCCCGTTCCTTCATTACCCTAGCATGTTCCTGATGGAGTCAGTTTGACAACTTCCACCCTCATTACTTCCGGCTAATGTTATGCAATGGTACTGGAATTTCCGTCACTCGTGTCCCCAAATACCCTTTTACTCGGGCATTCTTTGTTGAACATTCAGTTGCAAATCATACTTGCAAACTAGCAGTGGCTTATTGCAGAATACCCANCCCCCCCCCCCCCCCCGCTCCTGCCGCCCCTTCATTACCCTAGCATGTTCCTGATGGAGTCAGTTTGACGACTTCCACCCTTATTACTTCCGGCTAATGCTATGCAATGGTACTGGAATTTCCGTCACGCGTGTCCTCAAATACCCTTTTACTCAGACATTCTTTGTTGAACATTTAGTTGCAAATCATGTTTGCAAACTAGCAGTGGCTAAATTGCAGAATACGCAGCTCACTAAATATCTAACTTAGAAAACCGCTCCCACAGTCCTGCAGTCGTCCGATTAATTGCATATTAAATTCTAACATCAAATGTGAAAGTGCAGGACTGCGGGAGCACCAGTATACCTTGTTCTATAAACTCACTAGTTACTTGACCTCCACTGTGGGAGTACAGGACTGTGGGAGCACTAGCTGTATGCATCATTCTTTGAACACACTAGTTACTTGACATCAACTGGGGGAGTGCGGGACTGCAGCAGGAGCACTTCATTTTACTCACTTAGATTGAAGTATTCGGCATAATAGAACACGACTACAGGAGCAGTTTTTCAAGTAAGACATTAGTGGGCCAGGTATTCTGCAATCGCTCCCAGGTAGTGATCTCCATGGTGATATTTGGGCTATGATACAGCCACCTCTTCTCACTCCCTGCATGCTGCTGGGGACATTTCACAAGCAGTAGAGTGTGATGAGAGGCAGCAATATTGCAGGCTAGCTGATATTTGTCCACGTAAAATTGGCATTACAGCTGCAGCATTGTAGCGATCATCCATTTATTGATGAACCAATTAGATCAGGAATAGGGTAGACAAAGAACTACTTTGTGGATGTGGTACCTCCAAATCATTATTATTATTATTTTGCTTGAGTTTGAGACTGTATCCTAGCATCATGCAGCGCGCACTCAACAAAGATTTTACTTGATTCATGCAGAGTCTTTCTCAAGTACGCCAAAATCGAGCAAAATGAAAGAAAAGCTCCGCTGGCTGGTTGTAATGGTGCAAGAAATGTTAGATGGGGCAGCCAAAACAAAGCCTCCATAATTCCTGGAGATATGTTGCTGTATGGACTCTATAATGGAAACATTTTTAATTTTTACAGGTTTTCCCATGAACTGGGGTCTGGGTGCTGGATTTGGTGGAATGAATCAAGGATTTGGGAATTCAGGTGGAAGAGGTGAGACTACTGTCAACTCTCTCTAAGACAAAAACCTTTAGGACCAGTACTAAGTGTTTGTCGTATAGAGATGTCCATCTTCGTATAGAGATGTCCATCTTATAGAAAACCAAATAAAGGGAGTAAAGAAAGGCAGGGACCAACTCTAGGTGTCTGTCTTATAGAGGTGTCCATCTCATAGAGAGTCAAATAAAGGGAGTAAAGAAAGGCTGGGATCAAATCTAGGTGTCCATTTTACAAAGGTGTCCGTCTCATAGAGGTGTCCATTAAGAGAGAGTCAACTGTATATACATGTGGATGTACACTACTGAAACTTGTGTAAAGCACTGATTGTGAACAAATTTTAAATTCTCCTTTGTTGTCAATGACTTGAGTTAGATGTATGGTGGTCTACTGGTTAGTGTACTGGACTCTGTATGAAAAGGTTTAGGTTCAAGCCCTGATGTCTGGGTCACTGAGTTGTGTTGTTGGGCTAAGATACTTACATATCACCTCACTTCTTCCGAGTGTATTTATAAGTGGTTAGTTTGACAAAAATCTCGTGGCAGGTTCCATTTCATAGTGATAATCTTAAGGAGGAAAGAACATCTGCAAAAGAGTTACATTATTTTATTAAGAGTTGTTCTTAATAATAAATGTTTCTTTCTTCTTTCAGGAAACTTTGGTGGTGGGGGAGGGAGTGGCAGTTTTGGAGGTGGAAGCAGCATGGGTGGAGGTGGTGGCAACAGCATGGGTATGGGTATGGGCGGCTTGGGTATGGGTATGGGTGGCTTCAACAGCCAAGCAGCCGCAGCAGCTCTTCTTAGTGGTGGATTCAACCCTGCTGCCTTTGCTAGCTTTAACCCCGCGTCAGTGGGAATGGGCTCTGGTTTTGGATTCAGTGGCATGGGCTTTGGTGGCTTTAATCCAGGTTTCTTTGGTGGGTTTGGAGGCTTTGGCCCAGGTAGTTTTGGTGGAGGTGGAGCTGGTGGTGGCGTTGGCGGCTCTGTAGGTGGCAGTGGCTTTGCTTCACTTGGTGGAGGTGGTTATGGTGGAGGAGGGCGCAGTCATAGTAGTTCCAGTAGTTATGAAAAAGAAAACTTTGGTGACAGTCCGTATGGCATGGCTGACCTGAAAGGATCTTCTGTTGGTGACCGCAATCCTACAGGTGGAATGTCTGTTCCAGGCGGAAGCTCTGGTGGTGGGTACGACAGCATGAGCAACCCTTTGGCTGCTGCATATGGCCATGGAAATTTTCCGGGTGGTTTTGGTGGTTTTCCTGGGGGTATGGGTGACTGGAGTCAGTTTCCTGGGGGAGTTGGAGGTGGTAGTTTAGGGGCTGGGGCTGGGGGAGCATCAGCTGATTACCAGATAGGGAACTACAGTCAGGTGAATTCCAGTTATGGTCCAACGAGTCGCATCAATAATCGTGGTGCCAGTGGAGTTGACAAAAATAATCGAGGTTACAGACCTTATTGATCCTAAATTTTGATATCAAGGTAAGTCCTTTACTTGATTATTTTTTTACCTGGTCATTTCAGAGTCTGGTGCATGTATATTCATCTTATTTGTTTTAAGCCCCACGACTACATGTATATGAACTTTTATTCATGCAGATAGTTAAAAGGAATTAACTGAAAAGCAAACATGCATGAGTTCAATCAGAAAATGTTTGCCTGAAATTTTCAGATTATTTCACTCCTTATCCTCTAATTTTTAATCTGCTTGGTGTCGATGCAATGTAGCCTCAGTTCAAAGTTAACATTATAATGATTTTGATTTAAACCTGTTCCCAGTTGGCTTGTTAGCTCAATTAGTAGAGAGCTGCACCAGTATCACAGAGGTCAAGGTTTCGAACCCCGTACAAGGTTGAATTTTTTCAGGCTTTCTTTTCGCAACTGCAAAAGTTACATCTACAACTGCAATGATCTCCATAATTATAATGATTTTGATTTTGGTTTGTCCTTTCTATCCACAAATTCTTTGCAGTTTGCCCAATGTGTGCATATTCTGTAGTGGTTTAAGTAATATTGTTGTTGTGTTATGTACAGTCTGAAATATATTTGTTAATCCTTTTGAAAAAAATTCCATTTTTTTCCTAAGAAATTGATAGTACTACGCTAAACTTCTACCAAAGAGATTTCACTTTAGTGGCAACACTATAGGGATTTAACCACAAATTCAAAAGTTAGAAAAAATTATGGCAAATGAGATCACCATAGATTGAAGTGAAAGGGTGAATAATATTTTATTTTTAAGTATTCTTAGCATGCTGGAATTACTTACACATGTGGATTTTTTATTTCAGGAAAACAAAAAATTAACATTTACTGAGTAAAATGCATGTGTACAGTCACACACAAAGTACAGATCATCAAAAATTGCTTTTTGTACAAAATAGTATTGTCTGTGATGAGTACATGCAAAGAAGCCACGGAAACCATACTACGTTTGAAGAAAACTTTTTGAATATTTGAAAAAATGGGTTAAATTCCAAGTTAAAGCACGTAAAAGCTCAAAATTATGGTTTTATCTGGGAGATTTAGTGACCTGTTTGGGAGAACGGAAGATTTGTGGGATTTTCAGGAGACTCTTGGATAATTCGTGATAGTTTACAAACTTGATAATGTGCACATGAAGCCTTACAGAGGGCTGTCTTGGCAGTTAGTTGAGAATGACTACCATCAATGGAAGTTAAAGTTTTGTTCTGTTCTGTGCGGTTTTCAGAACAGAATAATAATATTTCAACTCATGATGTGGTTGCATGATCAGTAATTTGGAGGTCAGGCAGGTCTCAACATTTTTAGCTACAATGTGGCTTTTTACACCAGAGGTCTTTTTTGTTTTGTCAGGAACTGTTTGAATTAGAGACTCAAAAATGCAACCTTTAATCATTCCTTTTGTTGACTATAGAAACCATTCATGACTGTTTACTCTCCATTTTTTACTGATGTTCATGTAGACAATAAGTGCAAATTAATATCCTTTAGTCCATCCTCATATTATGTTCTTTCTGCTTTTTTGGATCTAAAATGATTTTGAATGGGTGCTTCTTACAAGTGGAGGTGTGTGTGGCTGAGTGATCCAGACCTCGAACTCCAGATCTGGAGGCCCAGGGTTCAAGCCTCGCCCATTGTGTTGTTTCCTTAGACAAGCAACTTTACTTCACTTTGTCTCTCTTCACCCAGCTGATGTATAAATGGGTACCGGCAACATACATGTACTTCTGGGGGGTAACCTTGCGGTGGACTAGCATCCCATCTTAGGGGACGTAGCAATATTCCTAGGCATGCTTCATGCTAAAGAAACCAGGATAAGCTCTGGCTTTTTAGGCCTTTGGGTTTTTTTTGTGTCTTTAACTTTTTTACCTTGCCCATATGAAGAGTGATGGTATGGTTAAAGGTCCCCTTTTCTTGGCTGTGCTCTAATGCAGACCAGTTCTGGCTCCTAGCAAGTGATGTTTGCCCTTTGGGTTTCACGTATCAATGCACAAAGCATAATAATGCTCTTACCCTGGATTACATAGGTTCTCTTTGGGTTCCCTACAGTACACAGTAGAACAAAACCTCTCTATTTTTTTAGGAGGTTGCTGGGCAGTCCTATGCCTTGAAAGTAGAAGTACCTTGTCAACATTATTTTCCACTAGATGTTTTTCATCAAAAGTATGGGACAAACCTATCACACTTCTCTAGCAAGGAGACAGGTTTTATTGTACTAACGTTGTATGCTTTTAATCCAGGTATTGTAGCCATGAGAACAGACAGATAAGCTGCACAGTGCAAACAGTGAAATGGCAGAATAGACAGACAATGAAATCCTTGGCATAAGACAGAACAGTATACCTAGAGTACATGTTAAGAGACTAGGAGAGCTGGTAACCAAATGATATGTAGATAATAGAATGTCTGACTTTTAGCTTATGGAAGTAGATAGCCTGAGAATACAGCCACCTTCCCACCCCTCCCCCCCCCCTCTTCTCCCCGCTATGAGAGACGTCTGCGATTCCGCTCCAAAAATGGCAGAATAGACAGACAATGCCATCTTACTTTTTACTTTTTTCAATACCTTTATATTGCAAAGGAAGATACCAGGTGCTACAGTAATATTGATTTAGTTTTAGTGAACAACTCTGTTTTTGGCCCACTGTGGTAATCTAGTCTTGCTTTGAGTGAAGGGTGTGTGTATATTAAGGTAGAACTTTCGGCAAAAGTGTAATTCCTCTTATAGCTTTAGCCGGGGAAAACAACTGACCTTTGATGGCACCCTCTCTGGTTCTGCTGCAAACCATTAGTGATGAACGAGGCTTTCTGTGTGCCATGTGGCAAACTTGACTTTCTCAATACGTGGAAAATAAGCCTGATCCTGACTCAGCTTCCATCAGCATTTTACTGACACCGCAAAATGTCAGCTTTTTTCTCCAGCTGATATAGTGTAAATAAGTAATCAATGAGTTCCTTTTTGAGGAAATAATAATAATAATAATAATAATAATAATAATAATAATAATAATAATAATGACAGTTACTACAGTGCAATAATTATTAGGTGTGTTTTGGGTTTATTAAAATTATTAGCATATAGAAGTATCAGGAATGTAAGGAAACATTGTTAGGCAATCTAGTATGTGAATAAGAATTTTTTAGAACAAGTAGTTAAAGCAGGAGGTATCCAGCTTTTTTCGGTGAAGACTTTCTGAAAACCATTACAGAAATAGAAAGTGAAGATAAAGTTTTATTCAGCAAATAAGAGTTGGTAGTTTTCTAGCAAAACGTGAATGTAGGGTACATTTTATAGTAGAAAGAAAGATAGTACCCTTGTGTGGTATTTAACTAGCTTGTTTTTTTGGAGCTTAATGCCAAGCGTCCATATCCCTTAGTAAAAAATGTACATTTTGGCACTCGCATGTGTCGCACATGTACATGCTTCTTGAATTTTGATTTTTTTACATCGACTTTCCCAGAAGTATCTGTTTTTTTACTTTGTCTTGCTCAACTCTACTATACAATCTGGTAAGTTAAATGAAAGTGTGATTTTAGGTTTCCTTGTATTAAACTTAATCTTAAAAGAAAACGAGTCGTGTGTTTTTATTAATTAGTTGCTTTACGGCTATTTTGCTCCCTTTTTGTGGAACAAAATTGATCAAGTTCTATACCTTGCCCCACCCCTCCCTGGGCAGACACTCGGCTGAGTGTGACCCTGCCCTTGAGGGGGTAAACTCCGCCTCTTATCTCCTCCACTGAGGCCTCTTTGTGTCATGGGAAGTGTAGAGTGAAAACGAAAGCGCGTGAGGGACGATGGGAAGGGGAAAGAGAAGAAGAGAGGTTTCAAGCCTCCTATTTTTAATTATTGCTTTTTCGACTGGAATAGCCAACAGGAGCCCCTTTGGGGAAGAGAGGGGTATCCTTCTTATCGTAGCCAGCACGGGCATCAGGCTTTTTGCTCCAGGTGTGTTTCATAAAGAATAACTGCAACCCCTCGTATAACAAATTGTCAAGGTAGTGGAGGACAACGTTTTCGATGCAATGCTTAAAATGCGAACAGCGCTTGAATTTTTAACCTTGATAAAACACGAGCTGTGAGTGTTTTTAACATCTTCAAACATATTCCCGGAGTATTGTATTTCGGCTGTTACTGTTTGATGTATTGTTTTCTAAAAGTGTGTTTGATTAATAAACACAACAAAAAATAGATGAAGTAACAAAAGTTTGTGGAATTGAAGTGCCTTCAGGACAACTGTGGAATAGCGGCAGAAGAGGAGGAAAATTGCTGGAGGAAAGTCACTATCTATCGGCAACTGGACGTGATGGGCATTCAAATTCCTACACTTGGTAAGTGGTGGTCTCTTTTTCAGCTTGTAGTTAATTGTTTTGGTGTTTTTTCGCTGAAAAACTTTGTTGTTTTGGAATGAGTGACCGGCCGATTGTTATCTTTCGTTCGATTTAAGCTGATTGTTTTTCAGATTTACAGTCGATTTATGGCTATTTAATAGGTTTTACTTATGAGTTTTTGGTTTTACTGGAACCGGTTACAGAAACAATCCTGTTTTCCCCCTTACAAATCCTTATATTGCGAACATTGTGCAACAGTGCCGATGGTCTTATTTGGAGCTTGGGTTGCCTGTGATTCAACCCCGTGTTTTCTTTTAGCGGCGCTTGAGACTGAGTCCGCGTTTTGTCGAACTGCACCACGGGGCTGTTTTTTGAGGACGCAGTTCCATCCAGGTCCCCGCCGTGCAACCCTATTTTTTTATATAATAGCGAACAAAAAAGCGTTACGTCCCCATAAAACAGTTCTACGCAACACCAACTAAGTCTTAAAATGCCTCAACACTGGTTTCCCCGCGAAATGACATCTGAGGAACAGGTGCAGAAATTCCATACTGATGACGCGTCACTACCCCGATCTGGTAGTGCTTCTGATTGGCTGAAGCAAATTTTGGAAAATTTCCCTCGTCAATCGACCAATCAGAGGCACTACTC